GCAAGTCTCCAGAGCCAGAGCGTCTCACTCTACTCATGACCCAGAAAACTGTGGTTCCTTTGCCTCCCGTGAGAACGCTGGAGAACCTCCCTCTTAGCCAGCTCTCCCTTTGTAAGCGGGTTTTCCTGGCATTTTCCATAACAGTAAACACGGGTCTGGTGTTGTCACTTCACTGTTTTGTAATATTACGTGGATACAGCTTCATCTGTCCAACCCATGTTCCACTGTTGGATACTTAGGGGTTTCAAATAATTTCCACTTACTCCCCCCGCCCCATTGCCAGTGTCAGTCTCTGAAATCCAGGCCTCTGAAAACCTTCCACCGTTTCCTAAGGAGCAGCACTGGTGAACTGTCTTGGTTTTTCAGTTTCTTGACCCCGGGTGGAGATGCTGGGGTTGCGGATCCTGAGCCGAGGCACTCCTCCCTGAGAGTGTGGTGACCTTGATCAGGCCGGCCTCCGCACTGTCCTGCCGGTCACAGCTCCTGACCTTCTTCTAACCCTTCATGCAGAGCAGATGGGAAACGGGTCCAGGGCCTCCTCTCTCTGGAAGATGTCCCTCCTCGACATCCCTGTCCTCTGGGGGCGGCTTTTCCTCCCTGGATCACAGGCCCTGTGTAGTTCCGTCTCCACTGTCACGGCAAAGGCCCCGCCCTGCCCTGAGGGGCCTGCGACCACTTTAGGAAAATCTTTCCAGGGCTTCAAAGAGTAACAGGATAGCTTTCTGGAATGCTTGTTAAAATTCTTGAATATGTTTAAGGGATTTACATGTTCAAAGAGAGCATACTTTCCCTTTGATGTCAACAAAAGATGGTTTTTTCCCCCTTTCCTGTGAATTTAAATAATTTGCCTGATTTCTGGTGGAAAGACCGCAAGACGCGCCCCTCGTGGTCTAGATGTGGTATTTGTTAGACATCCCCATGACTAACTGCAGGGGAGGGTGTGTGTAAATGATTCGGAAATATTTCTCCAAACAAAGGACCATCTGTAAGTTGTCAGATGGAAAAAAAATGGCGCCAACCTTGCACAAGATTTGATTCCTTTGAAACAATCACAGACAAAGAAATAGAAATATCATTTTAAATAATCATTAATGATGACCCAGTGGGGACTTTCCAGAATAAATGGGAATCAGTCTCCCCCTAGTGGACAGCTGGGGAATCACCGAGTTTTTGCATTAAGTGTGAGTTCTGAGGGAACTGTGGTGTGTGGGCCTCCTCCATGCGCCACCCTGGGGACCAGTGCTTGTGTGTGTGTCCCTCACAGATTCTCTGTGGCTACAGGGCCAGCCTGGCCACAGACCCAGCCTTCAGAGTCGCTGTCTTCTCAGACCCTGCCTGCATTCATCACTGTGGGGCCACGTGCCGCTGGAAGTCGGGGTGATGGGAGTTTCAAACACCTGTCTCTGCCGTGTCCCTCCCATCCAGATGGCAGAGGCTCTTTGGCAGAGAACAGGCGTTCAAATGAAGACACATTTTAAGCGGACCTTTGGCATGAGCCCTGTGGCGGGCCCTAGCTCCACCATTCTGAAACCCTGCACGAGCCTTCCCTTACCCCTTGGGCTCTTCACAGGGATAAACTGGCACCAATTAAAAAAAACTGACCAGCAGAATTTCATAAAACATTAAACTTTTGTTTCCCAGAATGAAAAGGGCACAGCTAAGAAGAAAATATCCACAATGCCACTTTTTGGTGAAGGACTTGTATCCAAATAAAGTGTTTACAACGCAACAGCAAGAACGAACGGGCGACCACGGCTGGGAGGGCAATAGGAGCTCACTGCAGCCCATTCCTGCTCTGACTAACAGAGAATACAAGCTGCTGGGTGAGAACTCTAAAAGGTGAGCGGTTGCAGATTGGAAAGAAAGAGGAGAAACTTAGCAGATATGTGCTGGGCATGGTTCCTCCCTCCTTCTCTCCTCCTCTTCCTCTCCCTCACGCCTCCTCCCCCTTCTGTTTTTCTTCCTTCCCCCACTTCTCATAGAAGCGGCAGAGCCACAAGGGCACCCCACAAGGACACCCCTCTTTTCAGTCAGAGGAATGTGAGGAGGGTCCCTCCTGTAAGGAAGGTGTAAGGGATGTCCAGGGTATAGATGACTAAAAAGCAGTTCCCTAATTCTGTGAAATCGCGCAATAGGCTCAGCCGGGCCCTGCGCTGTGCACAAACCACACAGACTCAAACCAGCAGAGTAAAACTTGGAGACTCAAATGTAAACTATCTTTTTACCACGCTTGCTAAATACAGAGCATGCTCGGGACAGACACAAATCTACACAGCGACCGGCACTGGCACCGCTGTCCACACCAGACGAAGCTGAACCTGAGCAAACAGGCGACCCACTAGAACGAGAACACCAGTGTTCCCAGACAGAGGCCTGTGAACAGAACGAGAACACCAGTGTTCCCCAGAGGCCTGTGAACAGAACGAGAACACCAGTGTTCCCCAGAGGCCTGTGAACAGAACGAGAACACCAGTGTTCCCCAGACAGAGGCCTGTGAACAGAACGAGAACACCAGTGTTCCCCAGAGGCTTGTGAATAGAACAAGAACACCAGTGTTCCCCAGACAGAGGCTTGTGAATAGAACGAGAACACCAGTGTTCCCCAGAGGCCTGTGAATAGAATGAGAACACCAGTGTTCCCCAGAGGCCTGTGAATAGAACGAGAACACCAGTGTTCCCCAGACAGAGGTCTGTGAACAGAACGAGAACACCAGTGTTCCCAGACAGAGGCCTGTGAATAGAACGAGAACACCAGTGTCCCCAGAGGATCGTGAATAGAAGGAGAACACCAGTGTTCCCAGACAGAGGCTTGTGAACAGAACGAGAACACCAGTGTTCCCCAGACAGAGGCTTGTGAATAGAACCAGAACACCAGTGTTCCCAGACAGAGGCTTGTGAACAGAACGAGAACACCAGTGTTCCCAGACAGAGGCTTGTGAACAGAACGAGAACACCAGTGTTCCCCAGACAGAGGCTTGTGAATAGAACGAGAACACCAGTGTTCCCCAGAGGATTGGGAATAGAACTAGAACACCAGTGTTCCCAGACAGAGGGTTGTGAACAGAACCCAAAGTCTACACGCAGTGGCGTTCTCCATCTCTAGGAAAATCCAAATCTATCCAGCCTGCAAGGAGCCGGGAAAGCATGGCCAGTTCTCAAGGGGAAGAGCATGAATACATTCACATGCCAAGGCGAGTCATGCCTGCTGGGTTACCAGACAGAGACTTCAAAAGAGGCTGTGGTGAGAGCATGCCCAAGTCGATCCAGAGGAACACACGCAAGGGGGATAAGAAGACATTTGTCCACGGGGAACTTTAAAAACACTTTCAAGAAGAGCAGACAGAAATGTTACGATTGAAAATATAAAGGCGAAGTTAAAATGTCTCCTGCAGACCCAGCGGGAGAATGCAGCGGCAAGGGGAAGGGGCTTCACTTAAGGTAGGTCTGAAGAAGGAGCCTGGGGACAATTGGGGACACGTGCTTAGGGTTTAATGATGTGCTGGTTGTTTCATTTCTGGGAGAAGAGGAGAAATAGAGTGGGGGGGCAGGAGTAGTGCTTGAAGAAATTAAAGGCCCACAGTTGACAAAGGGCAGAACCTGGCGTACGCAGGAGGCTCTGGGCACCCTAAGAGGCCGTGCCCTGCAAACACTGTGCCCGAGGCAGCAGGGACTGCTGAAAGCAAAGACAAAAGTTCCTTCCGGAACAAAGAGATGACACAGTTCACAGCGGGGCAGGGATGGGTAGCATCCAATCCAGGGCGGTACTACGGGTCAGAGAAGCGGGATCTGGTGACTCACATCGGCGGGAACGCAGTCAGGAGCTGGGTGTGGGGAAGAGAAACCGTACTCCCTTGACCTTCTTATAATGATTTCACGAAGCTCTGGACAGTGCAAAGCCAAGTACAGGGACAGCAGGTGGCGGGGGTCCTGGAGGGACAGCAGGTAGCTGGGGTCCTGGAGGGACAGCAGGTGGCAGGGGTCCTGGAGGGACAGCAGGTGGCTGGGGTCCTGGAGGGACAGCAGGTGGCAGGGGTCCTGGAGGGACAGCAGGTGGCAGGGGTCCTGGAGGGACAGCAGGTGGCTGGGGTCCTGGGCATGGTGGGGGGAGAGAGAAGGACGGTGTTGTTGGGTGACTATCCCTGGGGAGGTGTGAACAAATGCTTATTCACCCCAGGTAAGAAAGCAGTAACAGAGCAAAGTATGGATACCAACCATCTAAGTGCAGTTTCGTGAACCAGTGAGTTTTACTGGGCTAATTAGAGGAGTGTGGGTAAGGGGTAGTTCCAGGAGCAGAAATCACTCAGTTACATCAGCAAAGCCCGCCCCAGCACAGGTGACAGCTGACAGAGGCTGGGAGCCTGGAGCCCACCGCACAGCCTGCAGGCAGCTGGACAGGTTGCAGGGTGTCCTTTCCAGGTGAACCAGTTGGCCTGAACCTCTTCTAGACAGCACAGCCTGCCTGACAGTGTCCTTCCTGCTTATATGAGCTTGGGGAGGAGGGGCCTAGTGAATCTGGTCAGTTTCAGGGACTTTCTGGGGCTAGTGAGTTGTTTAGTCCTGGTTTTAAATGGGCCTCCCTGCAGGATGGGATGTTCCACCTCCCCTTTGAACGCCCCGTTGTTTCATTTCCCTTCCTGAGTCCTAACAGCTTCCCTTGAGAGGGAAGGCTTTAACCTCAGAGGACACCACCACACAACAGAAGGGAAGGGGGGGTGAGATGAAGTTGGCAGCATTATCAAAGAACAGGACAAAGTTCTGAGGGTTATAAGGATGTATCTCGACTGTGGTGGTATCCTCTTAGGTTTGGACCTGTGTATGAACTGACCATATTTGCTCTCTGAACAAACCTGATTCGATGCACTTTAGCTACAGAGCGAATTATTGGAATAAACAAATGATCTGAAGACTCAACAAAGGGAAATACGCAAATTGGCATTGTGCACATGGAAAGCTCCTCAGCTGCTTCAGCCATCCGTGCCTCAGGCACTTCTCGCTACTGTCATGGAACGCTGTGGCCGAGAAGGGTTTGTTACGGTGGTGAGGCGCGACAGCGACGGCCAGGCTTGGTAGCGGGAGCAGGAAGCTAAGAGTTCCCTGAATGGCAAGCATGAAGCAGAGGGGGGAACTGGAAACAGGAGGACTTTAACTTCCAAGTCTGCCTCCAGGGACTACTTCCTCCTCCAGAACACCCGAAACTGCACCACCGACTGGGGACCGAGTGTTTAAATGCCACAGACTATGGGAAGAAAGAGGGAACAGTTCTCAAGCTACCATGATCAGAAAGACAGAACTAAACATGAAACGGGATGGCGCTACAAGCCCGCACGGGTGGCAAAAGTTTCAAAGCGCCGGCAAGAACATGCAAGAATATGCATGAAAACAGAATTTTCCGAGGAATCAATGACGCCATGTCTTATTTAAACACACGTTAACTCTATGATCTAGTTAGACAAGTCCCGGCTAGAGAAATGTGAAGTTACTGACGCAACGCCTCGCGTACAGCGATTTGTCGCCGATAAGGTTTGTGACAGAACCAGGTGCTCGATGCTCAGGTGTGTGGGTAAGGAAATTGTGGCCTGGCATGGAGAGGGGAGCAAAGAGCAGGACATGAGGGGGGTGTGGCCACACAGTGCCAGCAAAAGATACGTCCGCACACGAAGTCCGCCCTTTGTGACCCCGCTCCTAGGAGAAGAAGCGGGGATCTTACAGTACTAAGAAGAGTGTCTGGTCGTGGCGGGGCACACCTGGGACGCCTAAGTGTGGGAGGTGGAGGTGGGAGGGTCACAAGTTCAAGGCCGTCCTTGACTGCGCTGCAAATCTGAGGCCAGCCTGAGCTACACAAGACCCAGTTTTAAAGGGGCGGCAGTGGCGGATGGAGAGATGGCTCGGTGGCTGGGAGCACCGGCTGCTCTTGCAGAGGATCTGGGCTCAGTTCCCAGCACCCACATCAGCAGCACTGGGTGTGCTACAGGGACCAGGACGGTGGCTCCGTGGCAGGAAGCAGCACTGTACAGCCACTCCCGGGACCTGCTCCCTTTACAGGTGTCTTGGGAAGAGCCGTGGAGGGGGCCTCGGCAAAGCCAAGGGGCCTGAGAGGTTGCAGCATCAGGCGAGTGGAAACTCACACTGGCCAGCTCACCCGGTGTGGACAGGCCCATGGGAGCCTTTCTCTTCTCCCGTCCCCCGGGGCTGTCACCCTGTAGTCTCTGGGCACAGGTCTCTGGTGAGTCACTGGCCCCAGAGGAAAGGGCTGGTCTGCCTGCACATGTTTTCCTTCCTTTTGTCTCCTTCGTCTCTTGGGGCCTTTGGAGCTAAGCTGAATACAGAGGCAGGTGGGGAGCCCAGGTGCCGGGTATAGGGCAGAAGTCTCCATGGCAACAGAGCCACCTGGCTTTCTTGCCTGGCGTTTGGACCTTGTGACTTCACGGTGGAATCTTCTCTCATGGTTGCCTGGTGAAGAGGATGGGGGAGGGGGCTCTGACCTCCCAGCTCTAGTCTGGGGATTAGGCTTCTTAGTGTCAGCCTTCAGGACCCCAGCCAACTCCACTAGACTCTAGTGGCAAGTGATCAGCCCAGCACGCGGGCCCATTCTCCGCTGAAGCCCTCTGGCGAGCTGGAGGAGTCACACCTGGCCTCCTTCAGTCCTGGCCTAGCCCGTGAAGAGCGGCCAGGGCCCCAGGAGGAAAGACAAAAGTGTGGGTCATTGCCACCCAGAACAGTCAGCCCTGGCAGCACGCTCTCAATGGCAGGAAGGGTAAGACACAGGGAGAGTCGCCATAGGGGCCTCCATAGGAAGCACAGTCGGGCGCTCCAGCCCAGCGAGAGGCCGTCTAGCCCACTGACACATTAGGGTTGCTACAGCAGACTGCTGCAGACCTGGTAAGATGGTGGCGCTCATTCCCACACGGCGTTGGTGGCCTGAAACCTGGTGTCAGGGTGTCAACAGAGTTCGCTCCTTCCTGGGGCTCCAAGGGAAAAGCTGCCCCAAGCCCCGTCTTCTAGCTTCTGGTGATGGCTGGTGACCTGGTGTCCCTTGGCTGTGACACCGTCAGTCTAGTTTCTGCCACATGAGGTCATCGTATGTCATGTCCCCTGCTATCTGTGCCTAAGTTGCCCAGTCATAGATTTCAGGCGTGCCCTAGCTGGTAGAACTCATCTTGACTTGATTGCATCTGCTAAAATCATACAGATAAGGGAGGGCGTAGTCACAGTGCCGGGGCTTAGGACTGGGGTTACCTTCCTGGGGACATGTACAACACGCATGTAAGCATGTGCAACACACTTGTAATCATGTGCAACACACATGTAAGCATGTGCAACACATGTAAGCATGCGCAACACACATGTAAGCATCTTACAACACAATGAAAGCATGTACCACACAATGAAAGCATGTACAACACACATGTAAGCATGTACAGCATGCATGCAAGCATGTACAACACGCATGTAAGCATGTGCAACACATGTGTAAGCATGTGCAACACACATGTAAGCATGCGCAACACACGTGTAAGCATGTACAACGCGCATATACAGTGGAAGAGCAGATGGGCCTCAGCCCCTGATACAGCCGCTCAGCCTGTTCCTTCAGCACAGCGTAAGGAGAGGCGTGTCTGTTCTAGGGTAGGATCAGGAAAGTCAAATGTGTGCTCTGGTCCCCGTCTCCAGGAGCTATCACAGGTCCATGGCCAACACTTTCCCAGGAGTTAGGGATGTTCAGGGACTTAGGGACCTGCTCTGGTTTTTGCCGATTACAAAGGCAGGAGAGGCAAGAGGTGTGACCCCTAGAGGAGTCAGGAGAGCCAGGGCCCAGACCATAATAGACTTCCCACAAAGCCCGGAGTCTATAAATTGGAGCAGCTTGAGGCCTCTGGAAATGGTCCCAATGGGAAATGACGGAAACAGGAGAACCTGGGTCTCTGTTTCCCCCTGCCAAGAAGGAGGGGAGCCCCCACCCTTTCCCCGCCTTCCCGTAAGACATGACTCCTCCCCCACCAACCCCAAGTCAGCAAGAGCTTAGATCCTAACCAAGCCCTGTTTGACACTTTCTACTCTCTCTCTTTCTCTCCCCCCTCACGTGAAGGGGTGTGTTGTCTGTGGAGGCCAGAAGAGGGCATTGGATCCTCTCAGAGATGGGGTTGCAAATGGTTGTGAGCCCACCAAATAAGTGGGTGCTAGGATTTGAACCTAGATCTCGGGAAGAACAGCTACGTTCTTAGCCTCCGAGGCGTCTCTCCGGCCCCGCCCATCCTTCCTCCCCCCCCCTTTTGTTGTCACCACACACCGGGGCTCTTCTAGATCCCTTGGAGGCAGATGTCCACTAGGCAGACGGCCTTGCCCTGGTGAGATGTATTGGGATCCCAGATGGTAAACAAGACAGTGTAGGCCAAGTGCTTCAGGTCATCAAAGGGGGAAATGTCCTCACTTGGAAGGGGTGTCGGTCGGTAGGGTGTCATGACTAAACCAGGGAGGGAAACGGGGCAGCCCTGACCAGGCACCATGCGTCACCCGGAACGGGCATTGCTTAGGCGAGCCCATTGGTGTGTACGCGGGGCCTGCCCAGGGAAGGTCAAGCGAAGGTCTGTGTGGACCCAACACGGCTAAGGGGGTCCGAGACCTGGAGGTCGGGGTGAGGAACTCTGTTTTTGTTTTTGTTTTTTCTTGGAAAAGTGTTGGTTGAGTGGCAGGGGCATGACCCCCTCGGGTGCAGAACACGAGAAACAGCACCTCTGTTAGAAAGAAGGGATGGGTAATGGTCGCTGTCGGGGAGGCTGGGAGCCAGGAAGACTCCTCTGAGGTGAGGGCCCCAGACACTCAGGCAGGGTCAAGGGGGTGTGACTGCGGGCCTGGGGGGCGCGGGGGGGGCGCGGGGGGGGCGCGGGCAGGGGATAGTGAGAGGAGCCAGTAGGGTGAGGTTGCAGGACTGATGAGGAGCATGGACTTTCCCAGGAGGAACCCTGATGAGCTGTGGGCCCTACAAGCCCCGCCCCCCCAATGTAGACAGGACCAGGGAGGAAGCAGGCAGCAGGGGTGAATGGATGCCCTCTCTTTCTCAGTCAGCCCAGAAAAGCCACGAGACTGAGTCCTTGATCTCTCCGAGCCTCCTGTTGGGGGGAGAACCCAGGACACCCGTCCCAGCAACTGCAGGTCAGCCGTTCGCAGGACCAGGAGCCACTTGGCTCTCCCAGCCCGTCCGAGGTGGGCTCAGAGTACCTGACTTCCTTCCACACTCCTGAGCAGCCCCTGGCTACGGAGGGACTGGCCCAGCAGGGTGAAGTCGGCCCGGGACACACTGCTGCCTGGAGCCCCAGACAGGGGCTGTTCCTCGGGGAGCTGGCGCCACCCAGTGGCTTCTTCCCATACTACCGCTCTCAGGAAGTGCATCTCTCCTGCAGCACCCATCAAGACTGCTGGTGTCTGGGCACCAGAGACGGCTTTCCCGGAAGTGGGGCACAGGATGGCTGCTGCAAGGTGACAGCCCCGGGTGGGTACCCCGTGAGTCCGAAGAGACCACAGGAGGGCAGGCAGCACCAAACCTCAGCAATGCTCCAGACACCTATCCCCAGGTCCCCGGTGGCACACTGGCTGTGGGCACAGAGGCAGGGAGGGACGGTCCAACCATCCTTCAGCTCCTCGCTTGCATGGAAGTGGCTGTGGAGACATCGAATTACACACAGTAATTCAAAGAGAGGCCTGAAACCAGAGCTGAGCCCATAGAAACGCCCAGTTACTTCTTGAAATTTGTTAGACACCCGGAGACGGGATGTGTGCCATCTCTCTTAATACTAACGGCTGTTTGTGAGGGAGACGACATCTCTTTTAAAATAGAAGGAATGTGACCTTGGTCACTCACATAGCAGGCGCCAAGCCCGGGTTCTGGCCCAGACCCATACCCTCTAGGCTCACGAGCAAACCCACCGGTAACCACACTGCCGGGTGTGGGGTCCAGGGACTGCGGAGGAAGTAGGGTAGATATTGACTTCAAAGCCAGGATGGAACTTTCCCATGGGGGCCCCTGGATATGTAAACAACATCAGGAAGGGCTCGACACTGCAGACCTGGCCTGGGTCCTGGCACCCTCCCCGATTGCCCCTGTAGAGAGTGACAAGCCAGGGTCCACCTTGGCATCTGGTCCCGAACCTGGCTGACACCTTTCTCCTCCTCACCCAGTCCGCCTTGGCAGGGCCAGACCTCCTCTCTGGGTTTTCACCCTCGCCAGCAGGCTGCCGCTTCCTGGGAGGGCTCACGTGTGATGGCCAGCAGAGCCTTCGCCTCTCCAGGGACATTGTTCTCGGTAAGTCAGGGTTTGTACCCTACTACAGAAGTCCCGAAGAGACGCTGCACACCAGCCCGGTGCCTTCCTCCTCTGTGCCGGGGAGCTCGAGGGACTGACCCCAACCTGGCGCCTTGCCGGCCTGTGAAGGTGCAGCGGTGACAGCAGCAGGGACTTCTGGGAGTGAACGTACTGTGCCCCGCCCCATTTGAACCTCACCATTCCTTCTGTAGCTTGTCAAAGGCCTGGACACAGGGAGCAGGGGCCTCCTGGACAACTCGGAGGTACGCATGCCTACAGCTGGTTTTGTCAATAAAGCCTGTCGGCACGGGCGTCTTAGCTGCCTCAATGTGCTGCTTCAGGACCAGGCCCCCGCTTCCTTCCACGGAGCCCCCATGAGCTGCACGGCACCTTGCCAGATCCTCAGAGGAAACCTCATCCTACAGGCGAAGAAGCGGGCTCAGTGGGCGGGCAGACAGGCTTCCGGTTCCGAGTGCGGACTGTAGCAGAGGCCGTGGCTGGGGCTGCGGGGATGGAGGGATTGACCCGCCCCGAGGGAGCCGAGCTGGAGCCTGATGGCACAGCCAGGAGATCCAGCAAGGCGCTTGCAGGACCCACTTTCTTCCCTTTCCCTCCCCGTGGGCACCCGGGCCTCATCCGAGTCTGGAGCTCTCTGCAAGAGCAGCCAGCGCTCTTAACCGCTGAGCCATCGCCCCAGCCCCAGACTTGATTCTTAAAAGACATTGGCTCTGCACGCCTTTAACCCCAGCACTCCGGAGGCAGAGGCAGGCGGATCTCTGTGAGTTCGAGGCCAGCCTGGTCTACAGAGCAAGTCCTAGGACAGCCTCCAAAACAATACAGAGAAGCCCTGTCTCGAAAAACCAAAAAACCAAAACAAAAACAAAGAAAACAACAACAAAACCACTGGGTCGTGTACGTGGTGCAGGTCTTTAATCTGAGCCACTCAAGAGGCTGAGGAGAGGATCACAGTTCACTGCTAGTCTTAACAACTAGTGAAATTCGCTCACAGTTAAAAAATAAATGAATGTCTGGGGTGTAGGTAAGGCGCTAGGATTAGTACCCAACAAAAAATAGTGCTGTCCTATTTCCGGGCCTTTTTCTGTAGGTGGGTAAATGGGCATAGAGGTACCAGGCACTTCCAAAACTGGCAGCAAGTGGGCAGACCTGGGCACTCGCTGCAAACAAGGTGCTGATCGTGTTGGTTCTTGGCCTCCTGCCGTGTGCCCCCAGCCTTGACCTCTGCCCTCAGAGGGCATTAGGACGGTATTGGCTGATGCACATGTGTGCCCTGGGGTGAGAGTTGACAGAGGTGGCAAATCCACCAGATCTCCCGAGAGCAAACACTGGCTTGAGAGGAGCCCGTAACTCCTGTCACGTGGATGCTGTGGTTGTCCACTCACGACAGCAGCTGTCTCACGGAGGACCGCCCCTGTAGGTCCGCAGGATCCCACCTCAGCTCCTGGCCCTGTCATCCAGGGTCCTCTGGAGCCAGGCCCTGCTCTTCAGCATCCTGACCTTCAAGGCTGCCAAGCACAGGCCTGCTAACCTCAGCTCTCTCTCCACAGCTCAGGGGTAGCCTTGCCCGGCGCCGTTTTCCCCAACCACCTACAAGCTCAAGCACCCTCTCCCCACAGCTTCCCAGGCTACGCTCAGACTTGCCCTCTGCACGCTGCCAGCCTCTGCTCTGCACGCTGCCAGCCTCTGCTCTTCAGGCAGGCATGGGTGAGCCTGCACCTAAGCCTTGAGCACACAGAGGGCAGCCGTGCGATCTAGCTGCCTCCCATTCATGGCGCCACTACCTCGCGTGGCTCCCCAGTGAGGTTTCAGTGGCAGCTGCCTTACACCCTCTCCTTCACAGGTACCCTTCACTTTCAGCTCTCTCCTGGGCTACACAGGCGGCCCTGACCATCATGGAACCTCTGTGTAGTCAGATTTTTTTCCCCCTTTGGGCCAGCAGCTCACAAGTAATGACACGGAGACTGATTAATGATGAAAGGCTGGCCTTAGCGTAGGCTTGTTTCTAACCAGCTCTTACAGCTTAAAGTAGCCCGTTTTTATTAGGCTGCGTGCTGTCACCTATCTATCGCACACCCTGCTTCCTCTGTGTCCCCTTGTGTCTCTTCTGCCCCTCAGTTATCTCCTCCTATGTCCTGTCTCTGCTCGGAAGCCCTGCCTAACTCTTGCCCGTTCGGCTCTTTATTAAATCAGTCACAGATTTGTTCACACAGTGTACAAATATCCCACAACACCGCTGCTCATCACTCATCATCACTGGTATGAGCCCGCTTGTGTCCATCGGCTGAGGAGACAGTTGGAGGGGATTCAGGCAGCCCTCGGCCCTCAGGACCCGGAATGGAAGACAGTGCGGGAGCTCCAGGGTCCTGTCTGGACTGGTTTTTTGGGAGAGTGTTCCCCCTCTGAAAACACAGCCATCTATCTAGGAGCCCTCGGGATGTGTTGTGATAATCACGTCTCACTGATGATTTAGAAGCTGAGGCGGTGGAGTCGGGACGTTTATGCTGAGGGGTGGTGCTATGGACCTTCAGGAAAGTCGCCTCCCTTATTGAGTCCGGGCCAGAAGGAGCATTTGGGGCTTGGAACGAAGCATCCGGGACTCAGCGATGAGCACCACTGTGTGGCTTTAGCGAATTTGTTTGACCACCTCCCTGGAAGCCAGGAGCGGGCCGACAGCCAGGCTGCAAGCTGCAGGCGCCGCTGAAGCAGTTTTCCTCGCGGTCCACAGCCGCTGAGATGGCTCGCCCGCGCGGCCCCCTGGCAGGCACCCTCTGACATCGCTCTCTCTCAGCGCTCATCTCTCTCAGCGGCCTCACGGGCACCCTCAGGTGTCTCTCTCAGAGGCCATTCTGGCACCCCCAGACGTCTCTCTAGACCTTTCTTCTTACCTTTCTTTTTATGCAGAGTCCGGCCTCTCTCCCGCCCCCCTCCCCGCAACTGCGCTGGCCTTTTCCACCCGGAAGCTCCCAGTGTTGTGCAGCAGCGCCCTCTCCTGGCGCATCTTGTCAAGACACAGTTGGCGTCTCCGGGGTCTAGACAATTTAATTCTTTAGACCCCACCCCTGCCTTATAAAGACTGAGCCAGCAGCAGCAGCAGCGCCCTCAACCCTGGTGCAGAGCCCAGGAAGCCTCGCCCTCAAATGGCCCACCCGCCTTCCCTCCATGGCCACCCACAAGCAGTTTCCCAAACCCTCCATGGACTGAGCATTCTCTGGGCAGACCCCAGAGAGCTCCCGACAAGGAAGGAGCCCTTGTTCACTCGATGACAGGCTCACATGGCACCCCCAAAACCAGTGTGGCCTTTTTGCCTATCCGGTGACCTGCTGCAGCCAGGACAGGAACAATGCAGCCCCAAAGAAGGCGTGTGTGGCATCCGGTCACAGCCCTCGGTCATTAGGGTCTCTCTGTTCTTGGGGTGTGTGGGGGGCCCCTAGTGGTCAGTGCAGAGACCTGGGGGTAGAAACGCAGCCAACAATTTGGAGGCCCCCGAAGAAGCCCGGATTCTGTGGGTCTGCCAGAAGGCTCATGGGAAGTGTCGCCACTGCTACCGGGGGTGAGGTGGCTGCATCCTCGGCTCTGCCATGACCCAGACGCTCCCTTCTGCTGACATCAGGTGGTTGTCCCATGGCTTCCCTGGTTAAGGCGCCTCTGAGTGCTGACTGAACAACAGGCCTACGCAGGCCCAGGGAACAAGGTGGTGCCTGTTCTCAGAGGTGTCCCATCTGATGGACAGACAGACAGTAAGCCGGAGTGGACAGACAGGCAGTCGAGGTGGTGTGCACCTGGGCAAAGGGGAGCTTGGCAGCGGGGCAGAATCACAAGGTGGCAGGGCACTGGGCTTAGCCAGAGAGCTAGGGGAGGGCGTGCACACAAGGGGCCAGCATGTGCGGCCCCACACAGGGAAGGAATGTGGGGTGTGAAGGCCACGCTGCCTGGCTGGACTCCCGCTGGACAAGACTGAGGCGGTAGGAGGCAGGAGGGAAAGGTCACTGGACTTGGCTTCACAGTCCTGCTCGCACCCAAATGGGCAACTAGAGCTTGCAGGCCAGGCCACAGAGAGTCCCGGAGCACCCTGCAGAGAGGTGGCCAGAGTATAGGCCAGGCTTCAGAAGTCTGGTATGGTAATAACTGGAGAGGGGGCCCAGGACCAGGTCGGAGGGGACAAAGGGCCTGCGTCCACCATACCGAGGCAGCGACAGCACAGGCCTGGGCTGGGCTGACAGAGGACAGAGGACACTGGAGCCATTGAGAAGGGAGAGTACCGGGAGCGCCTAGCTGGAGGGGTGAGACCTGGGAGAGAGAGAGAGAGAGAGAGGCTCACACCCACGTGAGTGTGGCGGCTCAGCGGAGGTGCAGTTTCCTAAGTGGAGGGGTGTGGGAGGACAGGCGCTGGGGGGGTTTAGCCTCACGGACATGCTGCCGAGGTGAGGTGTGAGCCTCCCAGGTAGAGGTGTTAAGTGGGGGCAGAGTCCAGAAGTGAAACCTGGGGTCAAGGGAATCGGGGAGACAGACGATGGTGTGAACGGAGGGAGGTCTGGGAAGCTCTCCAAGGAACCCATGTCCAGACACGAACAGGAGACAAAGGGGGGAGAAGAAAGCCAGGCAAGAGGAAGCCACAGGCCCGTCATCGGAGTAGGCCAGCAGCTGGCTCAGGTGTAGGTGGTGGGCTCAGGTAGGGACTGAGTCCTTCGCTGAGAAGAGAGTTGGAGAACCGGGTCCACGGCTGTGTAGATTCACGGTCCCATCAGGAGACCCCAGGCTGTGGAGCCTTCCCTGACTTGTGGAAACACAGCTTGCCCAGTGCTTTCCCAGTGGCGCCCAAGTCACAGCCCAGGCAAGCGGTCTCTGCTTTAGCAGCTTTCTAAGAAGCAAAGACTGGCATAGACTCAGTACCCAGAGCTTCCGTTGCCCTTGAAGGAGCCAGTGAGAAGCAGGAAATGGACCTCATTATCCAAGGATACCAGCACCCACTCCAATCCTACCCACCTGCCTCCACCGCATAGCTGATGCTGCAAGGGCTCCCTGGGTGGAAGGACTGAGGGACAAACAATGGAGTTTCCCTCTGGCCACAACAACCCAGGGAGCCACTCTCTCTGAGAGGCTAACTCTGAGCCCTGGCTAGTTGCATCCCAGCCCAGAGGAGAGCATAGATTCAGATAGCAGCAGCAACAGCAGCAGCAGCAATGCTGTCCTAAGAGGGAAATCCAGGGAAGTGTGAAAACTTAGGTTGCTTTTCTGGAACCAGTGTTCCGCTGGGTCCCACACCCCAGGGCTCAGGACTCTGAGGGCC